GCGTGTAAAAAAAATGATACATACATTAAGAAGTCAGATATCTTTAAAATATTAAAATATCACCCAAATACAATATATTTTAAAGATAGATCTTTGTAAATGGTTTACAAGCGTGAAATTTTGTATACTTATTCCGTATACTTGTGTTATATTACTACTAATATATTTGCAACTTTTACTTTATATATCTTTGTCATCCATGGTATTGTAATGTGTATTGCGCGCAGCATTATGTAAAGAAACCAATTTTTTTAGCTAATTCCACACCTCAGAAGTAGAAAATATAATGAAATATAATGACAATTAAAAATGACCTACGTTAAAAATAAACCGAAGTATGTTTTCTTAAAAAATAACATTTTATTAGTCCAAAGGGATTTGAATCCCGAAGGACTATTAGTTTCGTTTTGGCATTTTGCGTCGGACGGATAAATGTCGGTTCACTTTTCAAACTGTTGCCATAAAATGTTAGAGTCCTGCATTATATTTGAAGAAATTAAATAATGAAAATCTGCGTAAATGTATGTATATTTCTCACATTGTCATAAAATAACGGTACATAGAGTCATCGAATTTTGAATAACGTAATCCTCCAACGAATATGAGCATGTGGAAGACCAAATTTGAAATTTGAAATTTGTTTTATGATCGATTTCCTATTTTTTAAAACTTTGACGAATTTTTGATTAACAAACTCAAGGATTTCAAAGCGAGCAATGGCAACGTTGTGCAGAAAAAATTTTTTTATCTCCATCCAGCGCGTGAATCTCTGTATCGGAAATTCTAAAGATATGCTCGTTTTAAAACTATTTTGCGATATTGCTGTTGCACTGGATCTTATGGTTTAAGTGCGAGGAACATGATATTTAATAAAGAAAGGTAACACACAAAATGTTAAAAAACGCCCCTTTGGACGTAATTTAAAATCTGAAACATTTTTTTATTTATTTATTTATTTATTTATTTCATTTTCATAGCTTCAAAATCGATTTCTTAACATAATTAAAGATTATCTCTAAAATTTTAGGCGAGAGGCGTAGCAGTTGCTTCTTCTTTTAAACTCACTTTTTAAAGTTTCCCAAAGTTGGTCATATTTTTTGAAATTCTGACCAGTGGTTTCGGAGAAATCGTGGAGGCAAGAAAGAGAATTATAATTATCAGAAATCTGCCTTCGAAGCAGGAATAAACACTACTTAAAAAAAAAAAAAAAAAAAAAAAAAAAAAAAAAAAATCATGTTAGTAAATCATAAGACTGATTGATTGTTTATGACAAGCTGTCCAGAAATGTCACTTGTCCGCAACTGGTTGAATTTGTTAGAAAATTTCATGTTCTCGTACGGATGATAAGCGCAAGTGTCACATCGGCTTTGCTGTAGCTTCCAGATCGTCTCTATTGTTACCGTTGTCATCGACCGTTCTGTCCGTCTTTCCGCGTGCAGTGATCTTCAGAACCATCAAGAGCATTAAATATCCTCGTTTTCTTGAAGCTGTTCACTATTGCTTCATATATCAGAGCCCATGCATCCAAAATACCTAGGTAAATTAATTAGTAAGACGAAAACAGACATTAATGGGGCGGATCCATTTTAATATTTAGGGCAACTTGGTGTCTAAACACCTTGGGGAGAAGAAAATTTTTTAAATATACGAGAGAAAAATACACGAATAAATACGCTATATGTGTATATATATTTTAAACTGTTATAGGATGTTTTAATGCACTTCTCAAAGGTCATTTACCAGGCCTTTTCAAGCACCCTTAAACTAACTGCAAGTGGAACGTTCGCCAAAAGAGAATTTGCCTAATTTTGGATAGAAATGTTTGTTTATAGGAATTGTGAAGCCTTCAGTTTGTTTAAATAAAGAATTCAAATCGAACTATAATTAAGAATGTTATCACAGTTTTGAAAGAATATCACAGTATTTATGACGTTAAAAGGTGAATTATAAATAAGAAAATTAGAATATTGTACATTCTTTTTAATTTGTTATAATGTATCGAAAGTTAATATGCAAAACGTTTTTATTTTACATGTTATATGGTAATAGAAAAGTTTGAAAAACGTTCCCTGAACAATTCTGATTTATCATCTGGACTTTTAAATTGAACTTTTTCCAGATTGCATTAAAATTTCAGGAGGCATAAAAATCGTGATTATTTTCAAAAATGTAATACTACCCAGAATTTATGTTCTGTTTAAATATTTAAAGATTGCTATTTTTAGTTCAAAATTTCGTGATATTTCTCTTCTTTTACAGCTTGAATGTTTTTTTCGTTAAAAAGGTTTTTCTGTTGCTAAGACTTAATATCATATATATCGTATGTATGTATCTCGCATAACTCAAAAGCGATTACCCTCAGAACATTTAAATTTTATGTATGGGAATATCTCCTCTCCGAAAGGGGGGCCGTCTACGATTAAAACAATAACAACAATTAAATATAAATTCTAATCAATTTACAATAATACCTTAGCTTTCCATTTTAGTTTGGTTATTTCTTTCCATCCTAAAAATATTAGTTGCTTTTAATAAGTCCGTCTAAACTACGCCATTTCAAAATTAATGACTGTCATACAATTCTTGCACAAAGCTAAATGATGAGGTGTTGTACATAACACTTCAGCCGAATAATGATTTCAAATTTATTAGTGGAAACTTTTAACAACCAATAGGGATTAAATATGAACTAAAATTGATTCATTCTGAACGGGAATTTCATCTTGAATGCGTCGAATGCGCTATCTCTGAGTGGCTAGATGGTTGTCGCTGCATCTCTTCTTACCGCAACATCTTAAAGAAGTGTAAAATTCATTCAAGAATGATCGCGCTTAGCGTAAGAACTGCTTTGCAGTATCGCATTTATGCAGTTAAAACATTTATTTAATCACAGAGGACGATAGAGCAACCCCCCCCCCTCGAATCTAATGGCATATAAAAACCGCTGAACTAATCATTAATTTAGGATTGGCTATACATGCAGTTTTGTTGACAAACTTTGTGTCGAGAAAAAGAAGCATAAAAATATCTTGTTTCACGAAAATTTATTCGAGACGGAGAGTAAACACTTATTAATTCGGATAATTTAAGAACCTGTTCTGTGCATAAGAGAGATAATTATGTTCTAACTATGTGATAAATTACCAAAATAAATATGATTAATTATTTAACAACCAATTCATGTAACTGAAAAAGCGGCTCTGCTTAACCGCTGCGAACCGGCAGAATTTCACCCTGAATCTGTCATGAAAGTGTGTCAATAAAATGAGTAACCCGCTATCATGCGAAAATAGCATATTTTATCCAGAAATACCGAAATCCTGGTGAAAATATAACTCAGAATTCATGGTCCTGTCCCCCATCTTGTAAATGAACAGTCAACATCTGGTGACTTTATACTTAAACCCGCAGTTTTGCGTTTTGTAGGAAAAAAACAGAAAGAGTAGGCTGATCTTGAGTGAGTTGATCTTGAGTTTCGAGTCCTCATGCTTAGGTCTTAGGTGGTGTGGTAAGCAGGGACTGCTACTGTTGATGACTTTTTACTTTTATGTTGTCAGCTATGAGTGCATTTGCACTTCGGACATTCCGCGGTTATCCTTAGCTCTGTTATTAGCCATTGCTAATGAGCATGCGTCATACCGTTTCACCAGCTTCGTGTAAATTGAAAGAAATAAAAACAAATTGAGCGCCCGAGGGATGGCAACAGATAAGCAGAGAGAGAGTGAGATGAAAGAGTTTCGTCCACCTCCCCTCCATGGTCATTGGCGTCGTCCGTGCACTCACACATCCGTGAAAGAAAGTGGGACAAGGCCAACCACTTGTAGTTATTTTCTCATCGTCGTAACGGGCCTTCCGATAAGTGGGATAATGAGATAAAAATCCACTAAATAGAAATAAAGATTTTCAGCCTCCCTCTCTCTTCCATCGGCATTCAAGCTGGCTTTTCTCTTGTTTGTCTGTACGATGGTAATCATGCGAATTTGAAAATGTTTGGTTGATTGCTTCTGGCTGCAGATTAAAGATTTCGCAAGAAAGTCAATAACGTAACACGATTTGCGGCAATGCGTTTTTAAAAAAATGGGGGAGGGGGCACCTAAATGAAGCAAGTGCTGTCTGTACAAAGAATAACACCAATTTTCCCTTTTGTTTCCTTTATGAGTAATGAGCATTAGCACACGTGGAGGTAAACTAATTTTATTTGTTGCCCACGGACTTGCCTTCCTCTCGATCTCGGAAAGTAAGCAAATAAACCTTAAAAATGTTCGTTTTTGAATTATTTTGCCATTAATTATTAGTTCCATTGTCATCAGTATTGATGATATTTAAGTGCATTATTAAATCGTGTGAAAAAAACCCGTAAACATCAGGACATAACATGAAAATAACCATCCCTTACAGATTTGAGATGGAATTCAATGAAATGTTACCTTTTACTTCTGCTTTTAAACTTTAATTTATGAACGTCTGGTAATTTCACTTTGATTGTGGAATTGAAAGTTTCGTTTGCGATCATGAATGTTTTGTGTTTATTACGAGAGGGAAAGCAAAATTGAATGGAAGTCGAGAATTTCTTCCCTGTAAATCAATTTTAAAAAATTATAATTAAAGTTTTAGTTTTATTTACTTCTGTATTGCAAACTCGATAAAGAAGTCTTTTTGTCGAATAAAAAATTAGTTCTAATAATCTTAACCACTTTAACAAGAGTTATAAAGCTTGCGTAATAGTGCCTAGTTCTTTAAGCGCTAATCTCTACATATCCGTTGGATCACGTAATCTTCATACGTCTTGGATTTCTTATGAAAGAAGTTTGCTAATGTATGTGCAGTTATTATGCGTCTGGTTTAATTGCTTACTCTTGTCTGATACGTTTATGCGGATAGTAGTATTTAATGTGTGTATGGGAATAATTACTGTTCGTGGTTATGAAAAGTATATGTTATTTAAACGTAAAATTGGGAGACTGCTTATTTAAAATAATTCTTTTCTTATTTTTGTTTAGCTGTACGAGCCGATCGGATGCGTGGTGGAAGGAACAAGTTTGGCCCAATGTACAAGCGAGACAGAGCCCGCAAGCTTCAAATGATGAGACAAAAGCAAATTGCAAGGGCACAATGCCAAGGCGTCGTAGGGAATGAAGTAGCTCCTGTGGGACCACCTCCATTTCCACCACCACCTGCTTTGCCATCTCCATCCATGTATTCCAATGACCCCAACATCAAACAAGAACTCATTCAAATTCCTCAATTAAGCTCCTCCACAAGTTCTCCAGATTCTTCCCCGTCACCATTATGTACATCAGCGCAGACCAACTCGACCATCGCAGCGCACTTTGCGCTGTCCGTGGCCGGCCCGCCGGTCGAGCCCATCAAGGTGAGTTCGTGGCCACCAGGTCGTGCGCCCTCGCCACCTCATCCCGTCGCCTCTAACAACGCCGGAACTGCGGCGGGATCTCCCAAGCCCCCTTACCATTACGGTGATGTCAGCCCCCTTGTTCTCAGCAGTGTGGGACCCGTTGCGCTGTTGGCTGGCAGTGGCAAGGTGCCCCATCTCATCCGAGAGTTTCAACTGTCCATGCCGGATGACAAAGACTGGCAGAGTCAATTGTTCGGCCTCTTACAAAACCAGACATACAACCAATGCGAAGTGGATGTGTTTGAACTCATGTGCAAAGTAATCGACCAGTCCCTCTTCGCACAAGTGGACTGGGCTCGCAATAGTGTTTTCTTTAAAGAACTTAAGGTGAGTACTTTATAATGAAATGACAGCGAATCGTCGCAACATTTATTTTTATTTTGCATATGTTTTATTAATTTCTGATGAGTCAATGTCTTAGATTCATATAATTTACAGTGTTCCTTCCAGCCGTTGCCTTGGAAGAAATCACTACAACTCTTAGGTTAAAATTTTAAGTTGCACATCATGTCATTAAGTTAAGATTTCGGAAATATTTTCGTTCTGCATGGATAAATATCAGTCTTCATAAACTGTGAAGATGGAACATATATATTTTAATGAGGTGATTGCGAAATTAGTGTATTTTTCTTTTTAACAGATTCCAAAATCTTCAGTAGGATAATTAAGCATCACCAGTAGTTATCTTCTGTGAGGCGACGACATCCACAAAAAATCAAAATCGTCTGGAACTATGGGGGACCTACCCGTCTTAAAAAGCGTCACTGTTTATCAGAGTGAATACTGTAGGATACTTACCTTTTTAAGAATTGGTTGAGAGAAATATGAGAGCTTTTAAGAGTCATTAGCCAATCCTACATACATGGCCATTCAATATGTGAATAATGGAGAACACATCATAGCTATGTTTCGAATCTGTATTTGGCTTTTTAACTTTTAATTAAACTGTGTTCACCCCCCCCGTTCCACACATGCGCATTATTGTGATCATTTTTTCTATTATTAGATCTCACAATTCTAACTGCTGTATTTTTTAGATGAATGTAGTATGAGCTTTTTGTACATGAAATCTGTTTTAGTGCGAATAGCAATTTAAAAAGTAAATATATTTACTAAGCTTCAGCTGCTAAAATATGTTTTTTGGCATTCTGATTGTTCTCAGCTATGTCTCCCCCCCCCACCCCCCGGTGTGTGTGTGCACTCATTTGACTTCATCATCACCATTTCCGTTTGCTTTCATTCGTTAAATTATACGTCCCGCCTGCACGATTCAGTTTACCTTTTTGAATATACGGGCACATCCTCTGAAGCTACGTCAATTTTGTGTGTGAGCAAAATTCTATCCTTGACATACTTTCTTGATGAGTTTGTTATTAAGTCTTCGCCACCATTTTGTGTGGATCTTTTGCTGCTTCTGTTTCCTTTAATTCAGCTAATTTGTAAGTTCTTCTCTTATTAATTGCTTTTCGGTGAATGGACCTCTGACCCGGAATCAGAGTAATTTTTCCAGTCCTCGACCTTTTTCATAACAATTTGAATCTTCGATGATCTTGCCTGCAGTCGAACGTGACGGAAATACATAAGATTTATATTTTTATATATTTTTTTTGCTTTTCGCACCAGCGTTTTAGTTGCCAAGCTGAAAAGCCACATAGTTATTATTTTTATGTTGCTTTTCTGTCAGTTATCGGTAACTATCTGGTAGTATTGAACTAGTGTGAAAAAAATATTCTGAGATTGAATTCTTTTGATAATTTCCCACAATATTGTGATGATGAAACGTTATTTGTGATATTGAAGATAATTGACTGCAGTATTACAATTTCGTGACTTAGGTAGTGCTTGTCTGGGTTGACTTCATAGCTGATAAGTTCCTCTTTCAAGCAGCCGAGGCGCTGAACACTGGTAGTTCTGTCTGTTCGAATCATGGCGAATCTGTATGAGCGTTTTCTTCGTTTTCCTTCTGTATAACGTAAATACAAGCCAGTTTCCCTTAGAAAGCCCTCTACTAAGGTTTCCTAAAGTGAGGAGGGGGGAATTTTCTGCTAAAAATCCACAATTTTTCCATTTTAGCTCAACTTCTAGGGCTGAAAGTGGACATCACCGGGCAGATAGCCGCAGTACGCTTTGCCGTAATCAGATAAACCAAACTATCCAGCCCTTCCTCTTTCTTCTGGAAATGATGTAGATAGATATATTCCGCTAAAACTGTCCAGAGCAGGAGTAGTCAAACCTTTTCTTTAATTTAGTACAATTACAAAGTAATTTTTTTGAGCGAAGGTTTAGTAAAACACTTGTAATTCAATTTGTACTTTGCGTATATTTATAGTAGACAGAAAATTTATTAAAAAAATAACATAAAACTACATAAATAAAAATTTTAAAATTAAATTTACAAATTATAATTAATTGTTAATGAGATCTTCCTACCGGATGCTGCTAGACTAAACATTTGATGTTTGGTTATTTTCATAAAGACAAACGAAAATCTTCTGTTTCAGAAATATTCTGACGGTTTCTGTGTTTGGTCTTGATAGGATTAAAGCAGTAAAGCCTGATTTTACTAGCTAGAGGTAGGGAAAGGAGTAATTTGGGCACAGCCCGGTCCACCTACAGAGCAAGCTCTCCATATGACACTAATATACCCACGCCGGCTCCACCGACAAACGGAGACATTCAGCGACCCGGCCATGTCTCACTCCCCCCCCCAAAAAAAGACTTCAGCTATTAAATCAAAGTGGATGAACACGATTATAAATAACGAACTACAAGAAACCAAGCCCAGAGTTCTGGGTAACTAAAAGTTAAAAAAAAAATAAAATAAAATAAAATACCTTCATTAGTTGCTTGCAACACCAAACCATCAAAACCCAGATTTAATTGCTGGACAAAACAAGTAGGGAAATGTATTAAAAGAAGCTGTATAAATATATGAAAAGTGACAAAGCCGTATAAATGCTATGTGGAAACAGGAGAGCGTTACGTGAGGGAAGAACGGGCAAGTAGAGAATTTCGACGCATATATGCCGTATACTCCGGCTCACAACGCGTGCCTTTAATTTCAGACTACAATCATTAATTTTTAGATATATTCGCCATTTAACGCGCACCCTTTTCTTTACGAAGAAACCTGAGAGATACAAGTGGGATGCTTTTTATTTTTTAAGTTATTGATTCGAAGATTTTTTTCCAGGCATTCGAACAATCGCGTACTGAATTGACAAACGATAAGGGGAAGAAATACGTATACGGCGAAATGCTAGGGGGAGTAAATAATTCCGCAAAGAGCATGGGTTGTATTCAGTGCAGGTGTACACAAGAATGTTATTCCAGAGTTTTGAGAAAAGTGGGGCAGAATTTGGGAGAAGAGTGCGCATCCAACCCGAATGAATTCTCGTAATTACGCGTGTGTTTTCTCTTTGTGTGTAGTCATTTGAAACCGTGATATTGAAGTGAAGATCTAAGGTTTAGTAAATGGAATTTGCTTTAGTTGAAATTCAGTAATAGTGTTGCTTTTAAATATAGTAGTCAATATGGTTTCTTCTAAACGAAACAACAGAGTGCTGTTTTCAAATGCAAAGTCATTCAAGGATGTTTGGTTTGGTGAAAGATGGTACAGATGATGATTATTTATGTATGGATTATAAACTAAACTCAATGGCGCAACAGCCCCCCCTAGTGGGCCACAGCCTGTAGTGCTTTTTTCTGTTTTCTTGACCCTTGGACCCCGGACTGCATCAGCATATGCTCTGTGTAAGTGGTCAGTTGTCGCAGGACGGTCTTTAGTTCCCAAGCGAACTTGGTACTTATTTTATTGACCCACTCAAGGGATGAAAGGCTGTCAACCTTGCCCAGTCCGGGGATAGAACCCCGGACGCTTAATGGCAAACCGCACATTGAGTTGATCAATGTTAACGAATTTCGCGTACTGTGCATGCTCAGTGGTGTATCGCTGGTGTGGGAGAAAATACTGGCGACTAAACATAAGCAACCCTACACAAACCTGTTCATCATGTAGGTCTTATCGACTGTTTACGATTGCAACAGTTTATTTCATTTACTTACAATAATTTATTTAACCTTTAATTCAGTAATTTAAACTAGATTGAAACCTTAATTTGTTAAAGTATATATGAATGGAACGTATGGAAAATACTCAATTGTTTTTATTCCTCAGAAGTATAATCAGAAGTATATCTTGTGATGTTTCCTGTTTTGTAATCCTTTTTAAAAGAAAATTTGGGTAGTTTACAATCGACATTTACACTCCAAGTAATGAAGCAGCTTACAACCTGACACGTTTTAAAACCTCGAACTGTTTACGCCAAGATAACACAATATCAACCATATACTGTAATTATCTTCTTTTAAAAATTGCGCCAAATTCTCTTTTGGGCATGCGCAGTAAGCGAAATTCGTTTAACATTGTTCAACTCAATGTGCGGTTTGCCATTACGCTCCCCGGACCTGTGGTGCAGCTGCGCGACACACTATCAGGTTCGCCACCGGGCGGTCATGTGCCTAATAGATATATTATTTCTTTTAAATAAGCAGTATTTAGGTTCCCCCCTTTTTTTTTTATTATATCTTTCGTTTTTATTATACCCGGCATATAACGCGCATCCGTAAATTTCGATCGTATTTTTTGTATTAAATGTGCTTTATACGCCAAAATATACAGTATATCTATACATCCAGTGCATGTGTGAATGTGTTTGTCTTCCATGATCTTCATCATTGGACAAAAATATCTCTTTCGCTTTCGTCTCGTGCCTTTCCATATGTTATTTCTTTTAAGAAATGATTATCGGAACAGTATCCGTCATTGTTAATAACTAAAAACGATTTCAGTTAACTACAGAATTAGAAATTTTTACATATCCGCACCTTTAGAGGTAGACTTTATAATATAATACGTATTGAAATCTGTTGAACGCAATATGTGGTTTATTTTAATGATGTGCTTGGCTAACTGTGCTCTGTTTAATGCCAAAATATTTATTTACGCTAATACAGAAACTTCTTTATAATGCATCTGAAATTCTATGCAGATCTTATTTTGAGAGTGTAATTTATTTGTTCAGGAAACTGTGTAAGGCATTCAGTTGTGTTTTCTTTCCTTTCGATCAGAATCACCTATCTCATGAATTTCGAGTAAGAAGCATTTATTAAAAGTTTCTTCGTACTGATTAAGATCATGATTTGGTGTATCAACAAATGTGTATCATCAACCTAACGACTTCTAACTCCTGCTAATGCTCAGTAGTGGTAGAGATGTCCTTAAGCTGATGATATAAACCTAGTTGCATTTGGACTCTAAAAGGATG